GTAAATATCAATACAGGGGAAGTCTGGGGTGCTGTGGGAGCACATAATCAAGTGGGACATCCCTGAGGAAGTGGCATTTGGGCTAAGACTTAAAGGGTGAGCAGTTAGCCAGGAAGATTGGGGAATGTATTCTAGATAGAGAGAAAGCCTGGCTTTCAGGGAACCACACACATAATTCACAGTTGTTGGAGTGTGAAGAAAAGGGGGTCCCTTTCTTGGCTGATCTCCTCTCATGTGATTTTCCCTGTGCTCCCTCTCCTCCAGCCACCCCGGCCTCCTTGCTGCTCCCTGAACATGCCAGGCACACTCCAGCCTCAGGACCTTTGCTCTATCTGTTCCCTCTCCCTGGGTCACTGTTCCCCCAAGATCTCTGTTCACCTGTCCTGTGACCTTCAAGTTTGTGCTCACATCTCCCCTGCCAATCAGACCCTCTCAGCAGCCTAATTTGTTACCATGTGATGACACCACCCACAGCACTCCCACCCTCTCTCTACTTTTCCTTTTTGTCATAGTATCTATAGTCTTCAAACATATTATATACTTCACTTATTCATCATGCTTACTATTGTCTGTCTTTCCCACTAGAATGTCAGCTCCACCAGAGCTCTCAATGTGTTTTGTTCACTGTTGTTGTTGTTATGTGCCATTAAGTCGGATTTGACTCATAGCGACCCCTTCTTGGGTTTCTGAGACAGTATCACTATGGAAGTAGATTGCCCAACCTTCCTTCCAAGGAGTGGCTGGTGGGTTTGAACCACCAGCCCTCTTTCTGGTTAGCAGTCAAGTGCCTTAGGCACTGTGCTACCAGAGCGCCTCCTGTTTTGTTCACTAGGCATCCCAAATCCTTGAAACTGGAAAGAACAAATAGATTGGAGATTGGCAGGGAGGGGCCAGATGGCAGAGGCCTTATAGACTAGGAATAGGAGTCTTGGTGGCACAATGGTTAAGTGCTTGAGCTTCTAACCAAAAGGTTGACGGTTCAAACCTACCATCTGCTTCACTAGAAAAGATGTAGCAGTCAGCTGCCATAAAGACTTAAAGCATGGAAACTCTATGGGGCAGTTCTACCCTGTTCTACAGGGTCACTATGAGTCAGAAATGAGTCTACAGCAACAGGTTTTTCTTTTTTTTCTTTTTTTTTTTTTTTTTGTATGCCAGCAGAAGGTGTTGTGGGTCTCATTTCAAGTGCAAAGGGAAGTACTGAAGGGTCTCCAATAGGACAGGGGCAGGGTCTAAGTTACATTTTAAAAGCTTACTCTGGGTGCTGTGTGGAGAGTGGCTGGGAGGAAGGCAAGCTACTGCAGACATCCAGGCATGCAGTGACAGTATCTGGGCTAGGGTGGTGGCATGGGGGGGTGGGGAAGAAGTGGATAGATCAAGAGTTCCCTAGGAAGTGGGCTCACCATGCCTGTGAGCTGAGGTGTGTGGAAAATTAGGACAGTGCAATGCAGACTCCCATGCTCCTGTCTGAGCAACAGGGACACAGTGGAGCAGTGCTGGGGATAACAGAGGATCAAGTCAGGGGCTGGGGTAATCAAGAGTTCTATATGGGCCATGCTTCATTTGAAATCCCTATTAGGCTTTCAAGGTCTCTGGGCGGTGCAAATGGTTTGCACTCCACAGCTAACCTAAAGGTTGGGAGTTCAAACCCACCCAGCAGTGCCCAGAAGAAAAGGCCAGGCAATCTTTATTTGTTGACACTACAGCAAAGGAAACCCTATGGCTCAGTTCTATTCTGTAACACATGGGGCTGCCATGAGTTGGAATCAACTTGACAGCAACTAGCAATAGTAGCAACTCTCAAGTGAAGATGTCAGGTAGCCCATTGGACAAGTCAGAAGCTCAGTGGGGAAGTGTGGATTGAAGATAAACATTTGGAAATCATAGGCTTACAGTTGTTTTAAAAGCCATGAGAGTACAGGAAGAAGGTATGTCTAAAACCTGACCCTGAGGACCCAAGTCCTACAGCCTTCTGAACTGGCCCTGGAGAAATGAGGAGCAGTTTGCCAGGAGGGTGGGAAGACGGCGGTGCAGGTAGCAGGAACAGCCTGGGTAAGAACTCAAGACAGCATGGGAGCTCATTTGAGTACTCAATACTCAAAAGGTCATCAAACACAAACGTCTGAGACGCTGTCATAGCTGAGAGGAGCCTAAGGAGACCTGACAACTAAATGTGATGTGCTATCCTGGATGGGATTCTGGAACAGGAAAAGTATATTAGGTAAAAAGCAAGGGCTTCAGTTAATAATCATGTATCTATATTTGTTCATTAATTGTAACTAATGTCCCATACTAATATAAGTTGTTAATAATAAGGAAAACTGAATGTAGGATATATGGGAATCCTCTGTACATCCTGCTTTTTTTTTTTTATAAATCTAAAATTGTTCTAAAAAACAAAGTCTATTTTAAGGATAGGAGCTCTGGAGGTGTAGTACCTAAGGCAATTGACTGCTAACGAGAAGGCTAGTGGTTCAAACACACCAGCCACTCCTCGGAAGACTGGGCAATCTACTTCCATAGTGATGCCACCCCAGAAACCCAAGGAGGGGTCGCTATGAGTCGCATCTGACTCAATATCAGTATTTGGTTGGTTGGTTGGTTGGCTGGTTATTTTAGAGATAAAAAGACCATGGATTTCATAGATGCCCCTCCCCCAGCACACATACAAAAAAACAACTCCAAGTACATTAGTGATTAGTTTCTCTGGAGAGGACTTTAACCCTGAACAGTTGCTTCCAAAGCCAAAAGACTCCGGGACACTATGGCTATCTCATCACCCTCCCCCTGCCAATGAACAGAGGGTCCTTACCTCCCACTACTTTCTTTCTGTTCACAGAAAGCATACTCTCCTCAGGCCAGATTTCATAGCGAAAATGAGAAGCAGAGACTAGATGGTCCAGGTAAGTCAGACCCACCTAGTACTCCTCAGGGATGCAACCAGGGGCAATCCTTAGAGCATGCTCCACAAAAGCACAGTCCTGAGTCACAATTTTCCTGAACATCATCTTGCTCAACAGTTGGTTTGGTTTCTCCCTGTAGCAAACGTCTTTACACCATCTGGGTTCAAATTCCAGCTCCACTACTGTTTATGTGCTTTTGGGCAAGTCACTTTAGCCTTATTTTCCTCATCTCTAAAAACGGCATAACCACAGTTTGTTTAAAGAGCTACAAAGTGGGTTAAATGAGATGAACTGTAAACTGGATGTAATATCATCCTCTGCAGAATGGATTGGAGGCAGTGGATGCCAATGTCTGGTATCCTATCTGATATGCATTATGTCTGGTTGTTGAAGAGAGATGTGATCTCTCTGGTCAATCAGCAACGCCCCTTGAAGACTGAAGTGACGGATGGGTCCTTGGGACCCTGGGTGATGTCTGAGGAGCAGAGGACTGCATAGACCTCTGAGTCAGAGCAGAAGCTGGACATGTGCAGTGGCCAAGGGGCAGCCAGAGAGGCCCTGGTTGACAGTCAAGGAGGTGCTAAGCTGGAGAGGACACTGAGACAAAGGGGGTTGGTACTGTGAATGCCAAGGCCCCAATAGGCAACGCAACATTCCCTGGCCCACCGAGGCACAGCCTTAGACAGAAGCCACACAAACAAGAACCTGGACAACTCTCTAGGGGTCTACTGTTTTCAGAGGCACAAGCTTTGTGGGAAGAAAACTGGGTTGGGTCTTGGCTCCCCAACTGTGTGAGTCTGGCAAGTTCTCTCACCTCCCTGAAGCTCAATTTCCTCAATTACAAATTCTAAACTGGAGATAATACCTACCCCTCAGGCTAATCAAAGGTAAATCAGATAACAGAGGGGCAGCAGAGCAGAGCGGCTCTAGTCTGTCTGGGGTCAAACCACCTGAGTGTATATCCACACTGTGTGACCTCAGAGAAGTCTCTTAACCTCTCTGAGCCTCAGTTGTAATGCTTATAGACCCTACTTCTGAGGATTCTGAATATTCAAGAAATAGACATGAAGTACACAATAAACATTAGCTTTTTCTCTGGTGGCATAGTGCATAAGACATTTGGCTGTTAACCAGAAAATCAGAGGCTCATACCCACTAGCCAGTTCTCTATGAGGCAGAAGCAACTCAGTGGCAGTAAATTAAGTTTTTGTTTGTTTGTTTTAGAAGTACCCCAGCACAGCATTATATCCAGAGTAGATGCTCAAAATCTTCAGTCATGGGAGCTGACTTTGCCCCTTCCAAATTTAGACTCTTTTGGTTGGTCATCCCAACTCTAGCTGTTAAAGGGACTCCACAAAACCAGTGCATCAATTTGCAGACTCCCACAGGTCTCCACATTTAACCTACTTCCCTTAGCAAAGTCTTGACTCTCAATGCCACCACCCCAGGATGTCCTGGGATGTTTAAAAAAAAAAAAAAAAAAATCCAATATATAATGTTTGTTCTGTGCCAGCCACGGCCCTGAGCACTTTATATATAATAAGTCTGTTAACCTCACAACCCCATGAGGTAAGTACTATAGTTATTCTCCTTTTACACATGAAGAAACAGGCTTTTCAAGGTTAGCTAACTAACTCATGAGGTCACACAACTAGTTAAGTGGTGGAGCTGGGATATGCGCCACGAGTGACAAGAGCCCCACACTTGTTTGTAGCATTCATCGAGACTGGAGGCCAGGCAAATAGAAAAGTATGGGGGCGGAGGGGAGAAACTGAGGCTGGGCGTCAGAACAACCAGGTTCTTGTCTTGGCCCTAAGACTCCAGGGCTAGGAATCCTTATGCCAGACACTCACACCAGCCATGCCCCTGCCGAGGCAGGCATATTAGCCATTCCCCTTGCCCCGGCACCTTCCTCCTTCCGTGGAGCCTGGGCACCCACCCCTACCGTGCTGCTGCCGCCACCACCGTAACCTGATGCGCAGCAGGATTTGGGCCGCTGGCCCACGTCACCGCCGCGGAGGCACTCGGGCTCAGGCTTCGCTCCCGCCTGCTCTCCTCTCCTTCAGTGCCGGCTCCACAGGCAGGCGCGCGGGGTGCATGGCGCAGAGGCTGAGTGAGCGGGCACGAGGGCCCGCCGAGGCCACGGGGCTCTACAGGGCTGTGCTGCTCAGGTCTGGTAAGTAGAGGCAACCTGACCCAACTCCCACCTCTCCGGATGCAAGGACAGCGCAAGGAGGGCACTGAGGGTGCACCAAGCACAGCCCCTGGCCGGTCTGACGCTGGCACCTTGGTCCTTTTCTCCGCAGTTCTTTCCTCCTTTCCATTCTTCCTTCCTCCCGTCATTCATTTTTTATTCCTTTTTTTTTTCCCTCCCCTATCCCCCCTCCCTATCTTCCCTTTCTAGGCATTTACCCTTAGAAATAATGCTTTCTTCCCATGTGTGAGAACACACACAGTTGGTTTGATTACAAAACCCTGCTAGTTGCACCTCCTGGCCAGTTTCTCAAGCAGAGACTTAGGAGGGCGCAAAGGCATTTGTGCCTGGGAGTTTGGGTGCAGGAAAGCAGAAAATGGGCACGACATGAGTAGCACACTGCGAGGAAGCCAAGACAGGAATGGCTCTTGTGAAGGACTTTGCGATGTCCAAGGGGCACTAAACTAGGAGAAAAAAAAAAAAAATGGGGTAACAAGTTACAGAAAGGAGAGCAACTGTTTTTTTTTCTATATGTGTGGAGTAAAGAGGAAAGATTTGGAAGGAATCACACTGGTTATTTTTGAGTATGGGGATAGGATGAAGGTGTATTTTCCTTTATGTCTCTTTTTTGCTTGTTTGCAGTGAGCACATACTATTCTCCACTTGGGGTTAAAAAGAGATTTTTGATTTAGGAAAATGAAACAAAAGTAACATACGATCACACACACACACACACAGCCATGGAGACGGCCCTAACTCCTACTTGGACCCCTCCTTGGGTTTCCAAGGCGGTATCACTACAGAAGTAGATTGCCCAAGGTGCCTTCCAAGGAGTGGCTGGTGGGTTTGAACAGCCAGCCTGCTGGTTAGCAGTCAAGTGCCTTAGGCACTACGCCACAAGAGCGCCCTTGGAAAACACAGGGATGTAGAAAGAAGAAAAGAATGTCCGCGGTGAGCGTTTGGGGCAGTTTCATTCTGGATTCTGTGCTTGGACAAAGACGTTTAGGCAAGTTGAAAATTGGGTTGGTGCCGAGGTCGTTAGTCGTGGACATGTGATTAGAAAGGGTCAGGAGGCTTGGGCTCTTGGGCCAGCTACCCTCTGCCCTAAGCAAGGAGCCATCCGCACCCGGTCACAGTTCCCTGGGACCTGAACAGTGGGAGCCAATGAGCTGGGCGAGCCCGCGGTAGCGCGTCGGCAGTGACTGTGCGGCCCCTATGCCCGCCTTGACAGGCCCCGCCTAGGCGAGTTCCTGGCTTTGGGGCCCCGAGTTACTGGTTGAGAACTTCGGTTTCTTTAGTGTGAAAGTAAGAAGTTGCCAAGACTTCAGGACTGGCAGTGACGTCCTAGGGGAGGGTCTTCACTGTGTTTGAACCAGGGTCGGTAAAAAGAAAGGGGCTGTATAATCTGATGGAACTGGTTACAAATCCCAGCTCCAGTGATGTCCCTACAAAGCACTCTGCGTGTCACCACCCAGTTCCTATCTTCTTACAAAGCTGATGAGGGGCTGCCCCAAATCTGACTGGAGTCATAGCTTTGACCTTCACTCAAAAGGTAACTTTTTTAGCTTTTATGCATTAGAACACCTACATATGCATGGGAATCACCAGGAAGCTTGTTAATATGCAGATTCTGATTCAGTATATCTGGGGCTGTTCAAAGCCCTGCTTCCAGCCCATTCAGAATACAGGCACCTCAGAGTCCATCATCTAGGCCCATGCTTCTTTGGTAACTGCACCTCACACAGGTCCTAGCCCAGAAGGGAACAGAGAGCTCTGTCAGGGTGCTTCACTGACAAGAGCACTTACTGTGTGCTAGGTACTGTGCCTGGCTCATGCAATCCTCACAGCCCTACCAGGTCACTGCTAATTGTCATCTCTTTTTAACCGAGGAGAAAACTAAGGCTCAGACAGCTTCAACAACTTGCCCAAGGTCTTGCTAAGGGATTTTCTAACCCCAGTAAACAAGCAGAAAAGATATTCAAACCCAGGTCCAACTACGCCAGAATCTGCAGACCTTCTGAGATAGTCATAACATTGGCAAGTGATTGGGGGTCACTTGGTCTTGCTGTTCTCTGCCAAAAGCTGTACCACTGTCATCTCACTGACTTCCTTCATTTATTCTTTCAATCAACATTTATTGGCCATGTTATGCACTAGGAGTCCCTGTGTGGCATAAATGGTGAAGTACTAGGCTACTAACTGAAAAACTGGTGGTTCTAGACTACCTGGAGGTGCCTTGGAAGAAAAGTCTGGCACTCTACTTCCCAAAGAACATAACCATTGAAATCCCTATAAGCACAGTTCTACTCTGACATGCACGGGGTCGCCATGTGTCAGAATCAACTCAGCAGTAACTTTTTTTTTTTGATATTATGGACCAGATCCCATGTGAAGACCAGAGATACAATGATACATAAGACATGTCCCTCCTCTCAGGGAGGTGAATAGTACTGACTACCTATTTTAAGCACAAGAAAACTGAGGCTGAGAAGGTGACAGGATTTGCTTAAGAAAACACAGCTAGTCAGGGGTTCAGGGGTAGAAGTGAGATTTGAACCCCAAGACCATATGTTTCTGGAGTCATTATTCTCACAATAATCAATAAGTAGTGTCTGGGGTAGGGAGTTAACTGGACCATTTGGTGAAAGGGTGATCACCCCTCCTGTTGCTCTCCCACATGGAGTGGCTTTTAGAATCAAGCCTAAGATGGTGGCCATCTTTATTCACAATAGCTTCCTATGAAATAGTAAAACATTTTTAGAAAAATTTCATCCTAAATTATTTAAAATAAATTCTTAATAGTAAAGTAATACTTGTTCAGCATAAATATTTCAGGGCATAAAGAGGTGGAAGCCTTACCTATAGTCCCACTAACCACAAGCAGCCACTGGTAACATTTTGGAATGTCTCCTTTCAGTCTTTGCTGTGCAGTTTGTGTGTGCTGTTGTATTTGTGTTTTATGTTATTGAGATTATACTGCCTCTAGCCTTTACTTCCCCTTTTATCACTTGGATGAAAAATATTTAATATTCTTAAATGGGTTATCAAGACAATAGCCATCATATTGTGCCATGCACTGTACAAAGGGCTTTTCACACTGTATCTCTTTTTCCCTCAAAAGAACTTATATGGTAGGTATTGCTACTGCCCCATTTGAGACTGATGAAATGGGGAGCTCTGGTAGCATAGTGTCTAAGGCACTTGACTGCTAACCAAAAGGCTGGCGGTTCAAACCCACCAGCCACTCCTCAGAAGGAAGATGGAACAATCTACTTTCATAGTAATACTGCCTTGGAAACCCAAGGAGGGGTCGCTATAAATCAAGTCTGACTCGATGGCACATAACAACAACAACAACAGCCATCCAGCAGTGCATGGCATCTGGGCTGACACCAGAACCCATGCTTTTAATGACTAGTCTGGAAGGTCACTTTGTGGAATGACCTGATGCTCAGCCATGCCTAGTAAGTTACACACAATGTAGTAAAGATCCAGCTGAGGCTCGTTACCTGCATCCAACCAGGAGCTCAGGCCAGATTCCTGGCTGGAAGGAACACTTCCTCAGGTGCCTGTGGGCATCAGCAATGGTGCTCCTCCTCTGCAGCCCAATGGACAGCCTCCATCCAGGGCTGGATTAGCCAGTAAGAACAGGATGCACCAGTTTGCAGTAAGCAGGGTATGCAGGGGTTGCATTATATTTACTAACCTGTAGTGAACATTTCACATGTGAAAAATTAGTAAGTAAACACAATGAAACCCCTGCATACCTCACTTATTGGGTAATCCATCCCTGCCTCTATTACCACATTCCGGGTAGGGTCGCCAGATAGAACACTGGACATCCAGTTAAGTATGAATTTCAGATAAAAAATGAACAGTTTTTTTTAGGGTAAGTATATCCCAAATATTGCATGAGACATACATCTCCCAAAACATTTTCTGCTGTTTATGTGAAATCCACATTTAACTGGCAGACTCCATTTTTATTACCTATATGCTATTCCCACTTCCAGAAATCATAGAAGTTTACTGGCTAGACAAACTATGATCTCTCCAGGTTCCTTTACACACCCATATCCACACACCTCTCCCCATCCTTAGATCCATGTTTTTCCAGCTATAAGGAAATTAACCCTTTAAGACCAAATTATTTTCTTTTTTGAATTTTTTGTTGATACCATATGTTTTCAGTAATGGGAGGCAAGGTGAAGTGAATGGAAAAACTTTTTGAGGTAATACAGATTTTCATACAATTATGTGGGACACATATGTCCCAAGTGGACTCTGGTGGAAGAATTAGTGGAGTGACACCCATTTCTTCACATTCACATAGTTATAGAAGTCTCTGTGAGGTGGCAGCACAGACTGCAGCTGGGATAGCAGCTTTTCAAGAGACCTGAGAGGCTGAAAATTTTAGCAGGTGATATTATGTCCCATGGGTCATGAAAGGGTTAAAATATACTGGAATGGAGAGAGGGTGGCACCACAGGGTCCTTCTGCAGCTAAGAGGCCAAATCAACCATCTCTAATTGCAGCTGGGTTGAGAGCCAGCTTTCTGAAATAAGACTCTTAGTTCTTCCCTACCCCCTCACACTTTGTTTTCACCCTTGAAGTCCCTCCACTGAGTAAATTCTTCCCCGTTCAAACTTGTTGTAAAAGCGACTCTCAATGCATTTAATAATCTCTCCACAGATCCCATGATAAGTTTCTCTGCCAGTACAACTCCCCCACCATACCCCACCATGTTATTTGAGCAGAGCATGGTTTTTGGTGGAGGGGGTGATTCTAGGTTATTTTGTGGGCAGATTTTCAGAAATCTCATTGAGGCCTTGAAAAGAGACCTTGGAGGTTTGGACTGAATACAGGGCCAAGGAGGAAGTTTTAAGTTGCCATGGAAACTTCTTGTCTGATGTTTGTGGACCCAGATAAGCTGCTCAAGGCGCCTGTCGGCTTGAAGAAAGGGGGGCAAAAAATGAAAGGAA